TCGAATCGACTGTATAAGCTGGATAATGCGGTAGATAAAGCAGAAGAGACACTTCCAAATCTGTCAATAACTCTTTTCTGTTGAGGGCTGAAAGTAATAGAAGACTGAACGATAACAGGGCCGCTGATAGGCATCATAAATAAAGCTATTAATCTAAGTTTGATCAAACGCATTGACCCGGTAAGTAGATAGGGACTGAATAGCCTAATCGAGAATAGCATCAAGGGACTCAGTCCAGAGCTGTAAGAGAGATTCTTGATCCGGATCGGACATATAGGCCAGACTAGGAACCCATCTCCCTAGCGAGAACATCAAAATCAGCAACCATCGAAAACACGTCTTTTTCTCGCGTCAATCGAATCGCAGATGCCTCTAGGCCCTAAATAACCGCCATGGAGGCCCTGGAACCCCATGGTAGTGGTGATTCACACGCGTTAACTCCGCGAGCGCGACACGTGGCCTCTCAATCCCCCGAGATCCTAGGGGCACCAGATACTCGAACACCCAGCTACCGACACTCCCAAGGCTACATACAGCCTCATACAGCTCTAAATAAGCTAGAACAGCCAGGGCTACCCCAATCAGGGAGCCAAGGGTCCCTAGAAATCAGGAGCTCGAGTAAAACATCCGGCCGAACAGGCGAAACGCACAATGCAATTAAACGACAGAAAGCTCTACAAAGAGAGCCAGCAAACGGATATAGACCCATACAGAAGTCGATCAAGCAAACAAATGCCTTAGCAGGAGCTCTCGAGCTGGCCCAACATGAAGGCCTGGAATGTATACGATCGCAGCTAGCTGAAGAGCTAAACAGCTGGAAAGCCCAACAACAGATCCGGGAAGACCGTTATCTCGAACGCATTAATCTCCTTGAAATAGAGGTCAGCAAGCTTCGGTCAGAGCTTACAGCAGTTTAACTACCTCAAAACAAAAAACAGGCTGTACTAACCCAGTACTCAAACCAGAAGCCCGCAAATAATCAATCTACTCGAGCTCGAAGGAAGACAAAATATGCAGATCTAGCAGCTCTGTTAGCAACCAAACCAGGAGGCCAAGAATGGCAGGAAGTTGGAAAGAAACAGAAGAGACAACCACAAAAACAGCCAGAACAGCTAAGCTTAAGGGATATTACGCCAGTGAAAAACAGCCCTAAAGAAGCCCGAAGACTACTATTCCGCAGAGAAGGTATAATAGAGGCCCCAAGAGCTAAAAGAGAAGACGTAATTATAGAAATCAACTGGGCACTTGCAAATGCAGGCTTTTCAAGCTTCATGCGAGTAGTCGATACGGGTTATACCAATACAGGGGCAATCAGTATCCTACTAGAAAAAGGATCTACTGGATCAATATTGCTAAGCTATCGAGACCTACTAGTAACAGCAGTACGTTAAGCTGATCCAACAGTGGTCTCAATGGAACTTCCGGAGCAATGGTATCGGTTGAAGATCCATAGAGTCCCGGTCAAATGATATCTAAGCTGCAGGCTTAGCCTAGCCTAAGAAGAGATTAAACTGGGAACTGTCTTTCAGCTAAAACGAGATCTTACATGGCTAAGGAGCCCTAAGGAGTTTAAAAATCAAAAAAGTTTTACAATGGTAATTACTGTAGGATCCTTAGAAGAAGCTTGCAAGCTTCTTACCAACGGAATCCGTTTTGGTGGAATCCGATACCGAACAGAGCAGTACTGGGAGATAAGACCAGATACAGGCTGTCCCCGATGCTGTAATCTGGGTTATCGAAGCTTTAGAGCCTGCAAAGATCGAGGACCACGTTTTATATGTACGGGCCCTCACGAAGGAGCAAAGCATATATATAAGATAGTAAACTGTATAGCAAGACTAGGAACTGCCTACCAGTATATACCAGCGAAATGCGGAAACTGCCAGGGCCCGCATGTAGCCACTACAGAAAACTGTCCAGCAAAACGAGCAGCCAGAAAACAGGAAAGGGATAGAAGAGTTCAAAAAGATAACTCGAAACAACATTACGCTCAAGCCAGCCAAAACCCACAGAGTCCGGCTGTCGCGGAAGTTAACAAAAACCAACAATCTAGGCAAACAAGAAGCACGTAACGAACGGCTACGCAGGCGATAAGAAATCGCGAGAATGTAGGGTATGCATTCAACGAAGAAACTAAGCTAGGTTGTGAAGCTAGTCCCGATCGGGTAGTTAGGTCATAGAGTATCGCGAAGGAAGGTCTTCGGAGGCTGGTCACAGTCCGTGACACACGAGGTATAACAATTACAGCGCGGGAAATCGCAATACATAATGTAGGGCGATTCTGACCAATCGATGGACAGATAAGTCAAGTCGGCCCCCGACTGAATTAGAGCATTATGGATCAGGATAGACGGCATATGTCGAATGTCCCCTCGAAACCGCTACTTTCGTTAACATTTGACGGCGTATGTCCTTCAGGCCTCCTATTTTATCTTCTCTAGTTATGTCTCTAATTTTGTAGCCAGTCTAAGTCATAGGGCAAAGTAGGGTGCACGCCCACTCCCGTCTATGTTTCAATGTACCTGTCATCATATACGAGCCAACAACAGCCGATAATAAGTACTTGGAGGTCGGATATGGAATATATGCCAATAAGGGACTTCTCTTCCAAGGGAAATGTATTCTTTTGATGGTTATCCAGGAACCAGCTTCCCTGGGAAAACCAACCATCAACTCCTAACATGAACCATCTCTGCATATCAAGCCGTGATAAGGTAGAGAAGGTGGCAGTAACGGCTTTGTTTTCGACTTCTAGGACAAAACGAGATAATAGTTCTTGAGGTAATTGAAGGGAAAGGTGGTAACTACTGAATTTAACTGCCCCAGGTAGGAGAGGGAGGAGAATAATGATAAGCTCGCTTAACTAACCTATTCAAGCATAAGAATGAAGAAATGGCCTCGAGCAGCACCCTTTCCCGCTCCAGGAAGAGTCCCCCAGGCCGCTCTGCATACCCTGTCAGGCTTCCAATCTTCCTCCTCGCGAGCAGAAATTCCAATATTTTCACGCGGAGTAAGATCGATAGCATCATCTTTGCCTTCCCTTTCTCTAACATCGGCTTTCATCGCACGGTTGCCCAATTCCAGCGATTTGCGACACAGAAAGCACCAGATGTTTTCTCCTGCAACAGAGCAAAGGTTTTTGTCAATAAAGCTTTTTCCGCGTGCTTCCGTGTGGCACGGTTCGACATGATTCTTGAGGTATAGAGATGAGACCAATGGGCAAGCGATCCATTGGAGTTGGTTGAGACAAACCCAACGCAGTCATTGTAGAGGCATGTATCCGGATTCAAATGAGTAACCTTCCACATGAATGCACCAATCATCGATAGATGTAAACTTTTTCGCACACTCTTTAGCAGTGTACATATATGTCTGCTCAAGGGGCTTGTCTCATGGCCGTCATGATGAAATCAATGGTTGGTATTGTCCAGGAATTTCGAGGTCTGCGCGTGTTAGTGGTTGGAGTTCCTTGGAACACATATGTCGTTTTATAGTGAAAGTAAAATTTTACTTTTATATATTTATTAAATCATTTATGCACCTTATCAGATATCTGGATATCTCCGTCGCCCACTCCAAGGAAGTGGGGCGATTAGACCGCCAGTCAATTCTTTACCCGGCCTCAAAGATTTTGTTGGCCCCTACATGCTAGGGCATTCCTCCATTCATGCAACAGCTTTCTCTCTGACTTCAGCTTTACCAGTTCTGTTTCAGAGATTTTGTAGATCTCGAACCATGCGTCGCTCCCAATAGCTGCCGCCACCATAGGGCAGCAAATCCGACGTTGAATAGAAAAAAGCAGTCCAGATTTACTACCGGACTGTTAAACAATCTTGAAAGGATGAGCAGCGGGGTTAGAAGAGGGAGGAAGAGATGAAACGTCTTCGGGCCTGTTAGGCGCATATTTCGTGAACGGTACCGACAGAATAGAGGGAGGAGTGCGGCATGGTGAATCCTGTCTTAAATGAGCCCCTTACTATCTGGAATAAAAGGGTTCTGAAGCTCATTCGCGGCAATGTCGTCGGGATTTCAGGTCGATGCAGATAATACAGCAGACAAGATTGAATATGGTTTTTGTAGAATAGTCATGATTGTTCAGGCAGATGAGATGCATGGGCCGGTCCAATCATTTCATTTAAACCCCCCAGGTATCATACGACAGCTAATAGGATTCCATTAGGCCATAACCAACCAATGCAGGAGTAATCCCAATACCGCAAGACTGTGGATAATATGGTGTTTAGCCGACGAAGTATAAGACGTACGGCCAGAGACCACGAAATAGCAGTAGACGCTAGAACGCGCAAATAGAACTTCATTTGCATTTAAAAAGAGTAGCTGTTTTCATACAGTAACAAAAATACGTTTAGTGTTCGTGTTCAAGTATCAGGACATACAGCGAGAGCATTTAAAATCCAACTTTCTCGCGTCCAGCTATGTTGAATAGGGACAGTAGGGGATCGACAAGGTTCAGGTATCTTAAGATGGCTTGTCTGAACGCAGCCATGGCTTCGTAGAAAGTTTGAAAATCTTCCCAGGGGAACCTTGCAATTCTTGCCACCTTGAGGGGCTCTCATCCACAGTATAATTTGCAGGGTTTGTAGGGTCACCAATTGCATAGGTGTACCCATCATGTTTTTTGTTCCATTTCATAACAACATCGGTGAATTTTGATTGGCTTGACTGACTGCTTGTCTGAGGACTGGTACTAGGGGCGGCAGCACTACCGGCGGCGGTTTTCTTTCCAGGAATAATATTTTTGGCTTGTTCAGTTGCCTTGGCCTTGACAACTGGAGGATGTGTTTTTCAAATTTGTGTTTAGCTCGTTGTCGTTGAGCTGCTGGTGGTGACACCAAATGCGTCAGCTCTGGATTTCCCCTTTTCGATTGCTTGTTTCGGAAGTGAAATCGCGGATTCCGGAATATGCCCGTACACTTGCGCATCATCATGATAGAGCAAAGTCGGATTCGACCTATCGACAGACCACGTGTCCTTCGATTTCATGACAATAGCCTTTTCGCTTCGAAAGGGCGGTATTGCCAGAATCGCTCATAACTCTCGAATTGACCGACATAGGCGTAATTTGCTCGTTCCGCAGCCTGATTGGTATTTCGAGGACGCCCCGGTAGCTGAATGGTCTTTTCTGGAACACGTGCCTGAGATGCCTGTGACGCAGTAGGCGAATCTGTTTTGGTAACAGTTGGGGTTGTAGGAAACTCTACCCAATCCGGAAACGGCTCCCGCTCTTCGTTTTTTAATGACCAAGCCGAAGTATCGCCGGAGATGGTATGAACAAGATACATCAAATACAGTCGCATCGACACATTACCTCCATTGGTATATTTCGCTACATGGGAGATAGCATCTGAGTAGAAAAGTTTCTATTTACCGTCAGTCTTTTCGCGTCGTAGAAAGATCGTCCATTTGTAGTTGGTAACAAAGCCTAACTTCAGGTGGGCTGCCCACATATCGCGAGATACTTGTCCTGACGGAAGTTAATTTAGTGCACTATATGTAATGTGGCGAGATAGCTTACCAAAAAAATCGTTGTAGCTGGTCAACATATTCCTTTTGTCCCTGACGAGCGTACTTCACGAACAAGTCGGATCTGTTCACCCAAGGATGCTTGGCCTCCCCAAGTGCGCGCGCCTCTTTGGACGATATGCAATACAAGGTATAGTCAGGTATGGAGCGTTTTTCCTTCATCTGCTTTTCGGCCTCAACAAAGTTCGGAGGCCATTGTAGTATCTTCCCGGCAGCTGTCCAGTCACTGAACCGAAAACCATAGTCCAGCTTCTTTGCAATCCCGCCAACGGGGTTCAGGACGTGTGTCACGTATCTCCCGCTGGAAGAAATTTCTGCCCCGCATAAGAAGAATTTAGAGTAATTCAAATCTTTTTCTTTCTTGAGCCTAGCTGCTACAAGTGTTGTATATTTTCTCCATGGCTCGCTCGTATCAAACTTGCGGACCTCCTCTTGAAAACTATTCCAGGGTTCCATGTCTCCTTTCAAATCAATTCGATGCAAACCTGTGCCAGATGAATGTTTGCTGCTTTCTGCAACATCAGGAAATTTTCCCGTCAATATGTCACGCGCCGTTAAGAATTCAACCGGATAAAAGGTAGAAGCACTCATGCTGGGCTAAAGACTTGTGCGGAGGAAGTGTGATGAAAGGCTAAGGTCGACAATAGAATACATACGCCGCCTTATATACTTCAATTCTTCCATGCCCAAACTTTACATAACTGGGGTTATTCAGCACAAACCAAATGTGGTTTTACCTACATTGAAATGATCTTAGTCGGAATTGCGTGCGAGGAGCAATAGATGCGAGCTACCTATTACCGAGCAATACATTCGGTAAACAAGTGAAACACCTCTATTTTAACATCTCAACCACCATTAGCTTAATCAAGATATTATTTTTGATCTAGCTAAATATCTATAGACCCTTGTAGTATGTATGCGGTATCTCACTCTGAGCTATAGCTTTGAAAACACGTCTGATACTCATGACAATTGAATTCTCTTGAATGACTAGTCAAGATGAGGATCCGGAGCTTGCTTGAGGTTGGAATCGAAACATAGATTGGCTGGTACATATATACCTAAATTTTTGAACGACACTTTCCCAGAGCAAATGGCTACTATCGTTTCAAAATAGCTCTCACATGCTCCATCAGGTCGCATTCACGCGTAAAAAGGCTATTTTCATGTCCATACGGTCCAAGCCCCCAGATTTCCAGCTGCTCCCACGGGTCGAGACAAACATCCGAGGCTTTGCGATTTCCATTGTACTCAACATCTTCAAAATCGATAATGAAGCTACTTCAAGTCAGTAAAGCCACTGAGCATAGAAGGTAGTCAGACCATCGCTCATTTTCCTGATTCCATATGAGATTCTCCGGGCGGGGATCATGGTGGATAAAGTGATGGCTTTTAAATTCCCTGATAATTCTAAATATCGTTTGTTTGGCAAACATGGAGCTTTCCAACTCTTACCACAACGCTTGAATCAATGAGATTCGAATCTTATTATGCTCCTGATCCATACAGTCGGTTTTGAAATCTCTCAAGTTTTGACCAGATACTTTCTGCATAACAATGAATGCAATATACCCGCCAGGGAGTTGATCACTGGGACTTTGTTCACGAACCTCCCAGCCAATTAGCTTAGGTGTACAAGAGCACCCAACCTTTGTCAATCGATCTAGGTTGAATATTTCTCGACTAATTTCTTCGCTGTGACCCTTGAGCCCAGTAGACCAAGGAACAACCCTGTCACCGAAGTTAATGATTTCGTCAAAAATTTGACATAAAGGGCAGTAGGACACAGACTGTTTTTTGATCTTGATAATAGCAGGGACTCCCGAAGATATACCAACGGGAGTTGCCTCGTAAACCTCATGGCTCTCCCTTGTGCTACCCTTGGTCGGGTCAGGCTGTTCCCGATTCTTGAATGAAACTCTGCGACCGATGTGCCATTGCCTGTGGTCAATGACCAACGTATTCGATTCTTTCATAGTCATGCTAGGCCAAATACCTAGTGGAAGAGTATTGAGAAGGGACGGAAGGGTTGGCAATATACGTTTGGTGTGGCCGCGGGAGATGACTAATCCGCTTAGTTAACGTGTCAACTAACTAAAGTTAACGTTGGGTTTTGGGTCGGAAGCTTCGACCCAAAATGGGTTTTGCCGAAGTCTATGCTCAATAAGGAAGAATGAATGAATAATTCGATTGAATTGATTGATTCAACTTAATAATCAATATTGAAAAACGAGAGGAATTTATCTTATATTTTTATACAATTTTTAATATATAAAATAATGAATAAATTATAAAAATGATACAACTGGGATCTGCATCGGTGTGACGAACTGATAAAGAACCACTATATAAAGTGTAAGGCACTGACCTCAAGAAACGTAGGTATGCATTGACGAAGAACAAGCTGCACTCGATGCAGCTTGTTCTGTTAACTATGCGTACAGCTTATAAATCAGAATCTGATATTTATAAATATAGAGAAATTAGTCTATTTTCGAATGTTACGCTTGTTGCACGCAGTAAGACGTAAATGGTAAAAAGAGTAATTAAATGTAAAACAGAAGGTTAAACGCGAACGCGTTTTCGCGCCCTATCTTTGCTTTTTCTGATTGTTGGTAGCATAACAGCTAATGTGACGGTCTACAAAGGAGCCTAGTAAAAGACAAGTTTGTTTATGACTCGTAGTCAAGGAATTTTCCCATAGGAAGGAAAGGCTATCTAGAAGAGAGAATCCAGGGGCTCTATATACTGCCTGGGGCTTTGTCTCAGGCAGGAATGCCTGTAGGATATCTAGGAATGTTCCTAGATACCTACCGCGGAGGATCCCTTGATCCTATACTAACTAAACAGAATGTTCCAGAGGAACATTCCTCCGTACAGAGAAGCTCCCTGGCTCCAGGGGGTAACAGCTAACACGAGGTATAGCAATTACAGCGCGGGAAGTCGCAATACAAAATGTAGGGCGATTCCGACCAATCGATGGACAGATAAGTCAAGTCGGCCCTCGACTGAATTAAAGCATTATGGATTAGACTATGTGTTGCTCAAATTTTTTTAATCTTCTTTCTTTGGCCGGAGACGTAATCCAATGTTCTCAACCGCGGGTGGAATACCTAATTGATGATACGAAAAATCGATAGGAAACAAACTTTAGATACACCGCCAAATTTGGTCATTTGTCGTGAATTATCAGAACACATTTAATAATTTACCTCTATAAGCAAGCCCCTCGTATCCCTGCCTCTTGCTGGTCGAAAGTAAGCCGTCCCAAGGTCATGTAGGTGGCGCGGCACGAAGTCTTAAAAGGAACCCACACGTAGTGATAATGAGCGATGTTGGGCGATCCCAGGAGTCTGCCTCCCTTTATTGAGCAAATCCCATCAACCCCGTCCCCTCCAGGCAGCCGATATACTCACATTCCATCTCCCCATTCTTCACTACGCTCGTCTCTGCCCACAACCCCAGCTTTCCTTTCCCAAACATCTCGCCGCCCGGCCCGTACGCCTCCAGATACGACTTCCGAAGCAACACATGGGTTAGATTCCGCCGCCCGAAGCGTTCGAGATACCCCAAGTCGAGAAAATAGAACAGCTGGACCTTCGTGTTATAGTTTAGAGGCGGCACGTCGCCGCTGCGGAACGTTCCACCTGACGGGTCGTAGCAGAGACGCGAGTTGATGGGTCCCAGTCCCGGCCCGTCTGTAGTGCTCGTGACGAGATCCTTGATCCATTGCGTCACGAGCGGATCGAAGCGATCGAACCAGAGGTCTCGTTCGGTGGCCGTCATCGCCGAATGGTCTTGGCCTTCGACCACGAAGCACAGGTTCTCCGGGACGTTGGTGACGAGGACCCGTCCGGGTCGGATCTTCGCTGCTTCGTCGTGATCTCCATGTTTCTCTTTGATCTCGGTGCTGGAACTGGTACTTGCCCCGGGAGATCCTCCGTGCGGACAGCGCTAATCTCCTTCTTGCTCCTTATTATGAGATAAATGCACCGACGACTCCATCCTATCGCCCTCCGCGGTCGCCGACAGCCGATCTCGATAACACCCCCAGTACCCGGCCTTAGGGAAGACCGACACACGTTCTCCCAAGTGTCCTTGACCCGTGATCTCGGACCTAGTAGTTCCATGTTGCGTGCGACTCGCGGGGAGAGTCATTACCTCGCGCCAGATGCCGGCGTCATCGGGCAGGTGGGACCAGAATTGCACGACAGTGGGACTGTCCCACCAGGAGTGGTAGGCATCCGAGGAGGTCCAGTAGGTAAGCCAAAGGCGTGTTTTTCCTTGTCCACCTTGCGTACCAGCGAGAGAGGGCGAGTTGTCTTGGACGAGGTGGTCAATATGGGCTGGGTGGGTGGATATCAGGTCGTTGAGGCGCGTGATGAGGGCGGTCTTTTGGGGACTGTTGGTGGTGCCGTTGTCATGTTGGATGCCGAAGATTGCGTAGACGAATGGAGAGGCCGAGGAGAGTTGAACGCCGTGCATATTGAGGGCGGAAGATCCGAGATTTGGTGGAGGCAGGGAGGACGGAGGAGGATGCGAGATGGCAAGAAGGTGGGAAGTATTTAAAGTATAGAATCCGAATCGCCCCTTTCTTTCTTAGGTAGGTATTGACCGGTTGGCCCCCAGATAGCCTGGTAGGTAGTACGAGTAGTACGAGGGATCCACTGACGGCCCGTAAGCTGCCAAGCCAGTGGATATACCTAGTCATATACTATGTATATGTAAGTATAAGTATACCTCATCTAGATTTAGTCCGACAACGCTAAAACATGCTGTATACAAACTCCTCTATAAAGCATCCCCAGCCACCACGGTCTCCGTATCCCGTGGCTTCTTCTGCGGCCTTCCCTCCTCTTCTCCGTTTATTTCCAATACCTCCACCTTAGGTTCAGGCTTTTCTGTAGAAGCCACCCAATTGCCCCGACCCGCCGCAGCAGCCAGTTTAGCCTGTCGATGCAGCGCTCTCGGGGGCAAACTACCCGTCTTCGCCATCACCAGCGTCCGTTTCCATCGACTCGCCCACTGCCCGTCGTCCGTTTGACGGATGTAATACCCTAAATCCGCCGTGGGATCCCCTTCCGTCTGCAAAATCCCGATTCCCCTTATACACAAACTCCCAGTCGTCTGCTCTGGGCTCTCTCAGAGCCTCCAAGTAGTGCAGCGTACTACCGGGCCAAGTCGTTGGGACACGGTTCCCAGTTATGTGGTTATTATGCGAGTTGCGACACCGATCTGTCCAGACGGCTTTCTCCATGAAGGAGGCTACGTGGGCCTTGAAGTCCTCGCAGGCCGCTCGCTTTAGCGCCATGCTGTGGATCGGTTCCGTCTGATACCGGTCGATGAAGGAGCAGATGTAGCCGGCTTGGGCTTCGATGGCGATCAGCGTAGGACCGTTGGAGACGGGCGTCCAGGGCCCTAGCATAGTGAAGGTGTTGGGGAACTCGGGGATGCCGACCCCCATGTAACCAGAGACGGAGTCGGCCCATTCGGTCTGGAGATTGCGGCCGCAGGGGCCCAGGATAGGATAGCGAGGGATGTAGGACGTGTCGAAGCCGGTGGCGCAGATGACCACGTCGCCGGAGTGGACTTGGTCGTTAGTGCTGGTGCTGGTACAGCCGGACTTGGCGAATGAGGTGACGCTGCCGGGGACGATGGTAACATTTTCTTTTTGGAGGGTCTTTTTGGTCAACTTAACGCCGGCGGAAGAAAGAGGAAAGAAAGACGCTAATATTTGTACATACCTTCAGATATCGGAAGCCGGAGGGGATGACGCGTTTACATCCCACAGCAAAATCACGGATAAGCTTCTCTTGGAGCTCCTTGTTCTGGAAGAGCTTCTTCATCTCTGACTCCAGAAGATCCTTGCATTGTTGCTGCAAGATAGTATTTTTCAGATAGACCGCTGTGAGATGTTAGCACCCGGCTTAATTGAACTAGCACAGACAGCCCTACTAAATATACTATTCATCGTCCGCTCATTCTGCTGTCTCAATGTCAACACACTCTCTGGATGGTTCACAAAATGCTCGATCTGCTCCTCGGAGAACGCTCCTGCCTCGGTGCTTATATCCGGCAACACCCAAACCGGTGAGCGGATAAAGATCTTTACGCTTTTCGCAGTCGGCTGAGTTGCTGGAAGGATCTGCACCGCTGAAGATCTACCTCCGATGAGCAGAACATCGCGACCCGCTAGCGGCACTGTGTCGTCGTAGTCCGCACTATGCAGCTTAATGCCCTGATAGTCGTGAAGCCCCGGCACCTTTAGCCAGGCCAGTTTATTCAGATACCCCGTAGCATGGACAAGGATATGGCACCAGTCCGAGGCCGTCTGGCCAGTCGCAAAATCCTGAACCTGCACGATCCACTGGCCTTTCTCAGCATCCCATTGTGTCTCTGTGACGAGGTGCGACGTGCGAATGTACCGTCCCAGATCGTACTTCTTGGCAAAACCCGCGAAATAACTGCGGATTTCAGACGAGCCGGCGTACACAGAGGACCAGTTGGCTTTCGGCTCAAACGAGTAGACGTAGTTGTGTGAGGGCACGTCGCAGGCGCAGCCGGGGTAGCGGTTTTCGTACCATGTACCAGACACGTCGGGGGTTTTTTTCGTAGACCTGGGTAAGGTGAGGCTCGTGGGTACGGAAGTAAGGGTATATTAAAGCTTACCGTGAGAGAATAGTTGGTAAACGATCGCTGCAGCTTGTATGTAAGACAGAGTCCTGAGGCGCCGGCGCCAACGCAAACAACCTTTACGTGGCGTTCATGGTGAATGGCGTCCTCACGTGCCGGGTCCATGGTAAGATTCACTTAATCGAAGAACTTCAATTACGAATACTTAGACAGAGGGAGCAGAATTATTCACCAGGGGACAAACAGGGGACAATGTTTGGAATATATTGACCGTGGTAGCATTGTGGACGACGCCGGCCCCAGCCATTGCCACGATAACCTCATTATCAGACCACTATTTTTCTTTTCTCTTTTTTTTGTCTCTCTCCCTATTCGCCATGGCACCCTTCGTACTTCTAGCCGGTGCTACAGCCTAAATTCTCGGCAAGATCAATGAGATTAATGATACCGACGCCTTCGCCGCTTCCAACAGCCCCCATTTCTCTATCGCTCACGTCATCCCGGGCTACGTGCACATCGCGGACCTTTTGGCACTATATCTTAAGGCGCTTGGGTACTCGCCGTCCGAGGCCTCGCCGAGGGCGTTTAGCGCCTGAAATCCGACCGATTACGCCGCAACGTACGACTACGTGAAGAAAGCGTACCCCAGGGCTGCAGCGGAGGGAATTTTCAAACCTGGTATTATCCCAACTTTACCGGCGCCGTATGATTCCAGCAAGACGGAGGGCGAGTTGGGATTTCTGTTCCGATCGTTTGAGACGGTGGTGGTGGATTGGTGGATGCGGCGGGACAGTTGCTAGAGAATATTGGCAAGGAAAGGGCGTGATCTTGATCCGTATGTTTTACTGCTATTTATGGAATCCTGGTCTGTCAGGCACAAGGCGACTAGCATGACAAAAATGAAAGAAAATACCATTTGTGCTATCGTGCCCACAGTCGGTCAACCAGCCAAATAGATATCAACCGACTTCCGGGAAAAATTCCGCCCCTCCATCTACATGTTTAGGTTACCCCGTACGGGCCATGCAAGGGCCGAGAATAACAGCTTTCAAATACGAATGAACGAATGAACGAATGAAAACATCAGCCTGTATCGATTATGAATAAGCTCCATCCAAGTAAAAATCCTTTTCCGAAAAATGCCAAACGGCGAGCCAGGAACGATCTCTTGTGCACTGCTTCTGCTAGCCTCGTCTATGTCCAACGGCAAGGAAAGGGGAGGAGAGCAAATGGGGGCCAAAGATACAAGCAAGTCTGGAGTCCTGACTAAAATTTACGACTCGTAATTGGCCCACAATTAGTGGGTTGATGCCAGTGGGGCGATATCATCCCGGAGGATTTAAGAATTGATGGAGGATTTCGGGGGTGGAGTTATTGTGTGGCCCGTGGGTTGTCCCCCGCTTAGACTTGACACTTCAATTCAAGCCATGAAGATATAGGAAGAGACAGTTGGGATACCTCCAGGGAAGGGAATATTGGACACTCTGGTAGAGACTTGAATTTAATTCCAATATACCTTCGACTAACGAGACTAGGTGCGCCGCCCAAGTGCACCTCCCTTGCAGGACGACAGGGTTCCCCTCTTCTCTAGTTGACGCACCAATCAGGCCAAGTAATTAGTTTTCGACAGATGATAACAGACTACAGCGTACGGAGTAAGTCGTGTGCGAGTCAGTACTGTACCTGAGTCTTGGTCGATTTCGGGCTTATTTCCAACGGAAAAGTTGCTCTCCGCTCAGCCCGTGTCTTAGCCAGCATAGACACTGCCATGCCTTACAAGGGTAGGGTTACACTCGCCATAAGTAGCCCACAAATGCAAGACTTAGAGACTCCACAATGATACTACCACTCACTTGTTCATTCATATCTTACTCCTGATTTATTCCCAGGACCTGAATCTGAATACTATACCGTACCCCGTAAGCGCCGGGAAGATCATCCCGGCAAGGCGTTCGTTCCTTCTTTCCTTCCTTCGCTACCTCCTCGGTTGGCTCCCGGGGGGGGAAGGCAAGAAGGCCAAAGGCTAGGTAGTTCTTAGGGGTGTTTTACTTGATTTTAGAAGCAAGAGCTTCTAATGCAAGGGTATATTGCTCTATGTAGGCTTTTGTAATCGATACGTTGAACTGGGTTTGATCTCGGAATGCCGCTCCGGCTAGGTGCTCAACAAATATATACAGACACAGAAAAAAATATATATATATAAATAAATTAGTCCAGCAATCCTCAAAAAGTCTACGCATTCTAAGCCAAGTCACTAATTATGTACAATATATCCCAAACCCTTCCGCCTCGTGGTGACGCTCTTTTGCACCTAAGACACTAAGACAGCCATTTGCAAATAGGTAAGGAAGTACGCATGCATCGACCAACTCCCCACTTCCATCCCTGCCAACGAGGCAGCTTACCACATTAGTGTGGAATTCCAGCCTCGTTGGCAAGCAAGCCAATATCCAGCTGAGTTCCCCGTCGCGGAATTGCTCATTTCTGCAAATATCGTCACTCCGCCCCCCTGCACGCTGCCGTCAGACTTTAGACCCTTACACCATCAATAAGTTTCGGCCCCTGTCCATTCACATAAGATACCACGCGCAGGTCTCCGCCCGCCTGGATCGAGCATCCGATGTAGGTGTGCAGGCCGCGGTCTCGTAAGGCGTCATCGTGGCTGAGAGAGACAAGCCGAGTGTCAGTTTGCGGGATCAGCAGACGCGGCAGGGAGGGAGAGCGAAACCCCGATCTAGACTAGATCCAGCCTAGCAAGGATGACAGGGAGAGGGATCAAGACAGTGAGTCACTGCAGAAAGAATGTGAAGAAATTGAAAATACGCACACTATTCGGCGCAGGACGGTTCCATAATCCCGACGCAGGTAGGCGTCCTGGCTTTGCGAGGTCATGAATGTACGGATGGCGGTCAGGATGTGCTCGTCGCTGGAAGCGTAATGGCGGACGGGGATGTAGATTTTCACTTTCAGGGACGCACTGTAGGGTCGGAACTCCACGTTATAGAGGATTCCGGCGCTGCGGTGGTTAATCGGAGTCAGGAGATGGGACTCTGGCGTGCTGGATTGATCTAAAAGTGCGTCCCAGAGAGAGCGCAGGGTCTGGAGCCCGCGAGCTAGGTCCTCGGAGGGTGGAATCCGACCGCCTAGAGTCATCATTTGGCGAACGGAGGTGAAGCTCGTGACACGGTTGCGGGAGTAGATTTTGAGGTGTGATTCGGCGGGCGGATCCATGTCAATGGCGAGCATATCCATCTCCAAAGGAGGAGTTAGGGAGTCGCGTGCGAAGTCCTGGAAGGCGTGCAGCGCCACGAGGGGGTTAGGGTTGTCGCAAGTGCTGCTGCAGCCGGGTGCACTGGCGATGGCAGCGCTCAAGACTTCGAGATTGGTCTGGTTGGTGGCGCGAGCTTGGAAGCCCGGGAAGAAGTAGGCTTTGCCCTTGATGCTGTTGGCAGAGAGGTCGAAAGCGTAGAAGATCTTGGACGGTGGCCTTCCATGAGCCCCGTCGGGGTCTTGGGCGTCGATTCGCGGTTGAAGTGCTGGAACCAGGCCATGTGAGTATCTGGCAGGGCTGCAGTCATGGCCGTGCGGAAAGAGATATCCGCTTTTTGGTTCTCTGGATCGGCCGGGGTGCCAGCGTGGATCCCCACAGGTTCGATAGAAAAGCGCACCGTGGGTGGTTGGTGTCCGGTGTGCCAGTCCCAGCTGAGCTCGATGGGATGGTGGTCATCTGTCATGAAGCTCTGCCATTGCGGCGCTCCAGGAGTGTAAGTGGGCCCCAGGTAAGGGGCGATAGTGCGTCCGAAAAACGTCAGGATACGATGTTGTGCGAGAGCGGAATATTCGGCTGCCTCGAGGAGGGCACTGATGAGCAGCCCGGATGTGCGCCACCAGTACTTGCCGTGAGAGTCCAAGGACCCTTGCAGCTCGCTGGTTGTTTGTTGGAAGACAGGAGACTGCAAAAAAGACGCCTTCGTGGACAAGAGTTTCTGCGGTGTGGATAAGGAGAGAAACAGCAGAGACAGCAACCTGGACAGAGTATGATGCAGTGTTAAATAGTGCGCACGCAGGAGGTTGTAAGCCATTTTTGTAGATGGGCCGGTATGTTTCTGATCCTCCGGGATATAGACACAGAGTATAGTCAGAGAGATGCTCGGAACGCAGTTTATAGAAGACGGATTGTTCAGTGGCTAGAGCCACTATCTATCAGCTAACTGGAAGGGATAAATTCTTTTTTTTTTTTTTTTTTTTTTTTTTTTTTTTGAGCAATGTAATTCAGAAAGGCCTTTTTTTGTCATGCTGCTAGGTTTCGTGTTGTATTATGAGTAAACGATTAGCTGCGCCGTTGTAACTCGCCCAACGGCCCCCATCCCTAAATCCAATTTCTGATGATGAACGTTGGTTATTGGATGCAGGATGATTTGATCACGGCGCCTAAGGCTTTCCAGCTGAGCGAGCGAATCAGGCCATGCCGAGCAACGAAGCCCGTAAGTACCTGAGATTGCCTAAAGACTCAGCCCCGGGCCCCGTTGCGGAATCTGCGTGGAATGGGTATTAATATTGGGGTTCTCACAACCACTGATATCTAGAGTCCCCTCACCAGGCAGTCTCCAGTCTTCAAAGCTCAATATGCCCCTCCTCGTCTCTGTAATCCTATGTAGTGTCGCTCTGGCACTGCTTCAGTTGCTCCGAACCCGTTATAACGCGTTGCGTCACATACCCGGGCCTTTCTTGGCCAGTTTCAGCAATGTTTGGAAAGTCGCCTCCGTCTATCGGCAAAGGATGCACATTGACAACGTGGCGGCGCACGAACGCTACGGACCCGTCGTTCGTATCGGCCCGCACCACGTCTCTGTGTCCAGTCCGGAGGCTTTTTCTATCGTTCATGCCTCCCGCACCGCTTTCCCCAAGGTATCTAGATACTCGACTTGCCATTTAACAATCCTTCGTAAGCTTACCTCCCCCTCTAGACCGAATTCTACGAAGTGGGCGCCCCTAGCTTCCGTGGCGGTCCACTCGAGAACCTCTTCTCGATTCGAGACGTCCAGTACCATGCCTCTTTGCGCAAGAACATCGGCGGGCTCTACACTAAGTCCGCCGTGAAGGAATTTGAGCTGCAGATAAGGAGCTGCGTGGCGTTATTCCTGCGGCGAATGAAGGAGGAGCAGGGCAGATCTCTGGATATGTCCTTGTGGTTGCATCTCTATGCATACGACTGCTTGGCTGATGTGAATATGTCAGAGAAGTTGGGGTTTCTGGAGCGAGGGAGCGATGTGAAAGGGATGATTGAGGCTGCCAACCGGATTTTCTACATGGTTGGACTGGTAATTTTATGTTCAGACAGCTTTTCTTTCTTTGTACACTGACTTCTAGTGGTTCCAGCTTACCCAAGCCCCGATCCTTCATTTTGCGTTGCGGATCATGCGATCTCTCGTGCCCGCGGAAAAGGCCGAGCCTCTGCTCTTGGTGAGCTTTTCCCCCTAATCTTGGAATCTTCATGGGCAAATTAATAACATGCAACAGGTTACATTTAATAAGGTTGAGGAGCGTCGCAAGTCACCAGAAAAAAAGACCGATATGCTTAGCAAATTGCTCTCCTTGCATGAAAGGCAGCCCGAGAAACTGTCCGTGCGGGAAATCACCGCTGCTATCTTCATCAATCTGTATGACCTCTGTCCTGCTTCTCATTAGCTTAAAAAATACCCAATTAATTCGGATATAGAATGGCCGGCCACGACGTCCTGGCCATCACCCTGCGCGCAATTTGGTACTACCTAGCGCGGAACCCTCGCGTTATCAAGCTCCTGCGTGCAGAGATCACCGCTGCACGCAAGGAAGAGGGACTCTCCGACGATGATGATACCCAACTGTGTTATGCGAAGGCGTCAACATTACCTTATCTGTGCGTCACCCCCTTCCACTGAATGCAAAGTCCCTAACAGAGATGCCCTGATAGAGACGCCGTCATCCACGAGACCTTCCGCGTTCATCCTAATACGGGCACGATTCTTGAGCGTAAAGTCCCTAGCCCGGGAGCTACTATCGATGGATACCACCTCCCCCCGAATACTACAGTAGGGGTGAATGCCTGGGTGCTTCATCGCGATATTTGGGGCCGATACCGACGTCTTCAGACCAGAGCGGTGGACCGAGGCGAGTCTAAATGAGAGGACCGAGATGAAGAGGTGTTTATTTACGGTGAGTCTCTTAAATTCAGCTCTTACAAGATTTCCCCTACTTCTTTCTTGTTTATCGTGAGCTCCTAGCTCCCGTGGAACGTCGGGCATGAAATTAACGAGATCACGGTTCAGTTCGGCGCCGGTGCCCACACCTGCATCGGCCAGCATATCGCGATGATCCAAATTGTGAAGGTCATTACCGAGTTCTTCTATCGGTTTGATGTCAAGCTGACACAACCGGACCGGCCGTGGAAGGTAATGGGCAGTTGGGTGACGAAGCAGACGGAAATGGAGATGACGGTGGCAGCTCTGTAGAATAACTGCCAATCCATGTTACATACAACGTAGTAGTCACAATATAATATGCGGCAGCGCGGATGCGGCCCCCGTCGCCAATTTCCCGCCCAACTATGGAAATCTAGAATCAGATCAATCAAGGAAGAAACCCTACCAATTCGGCGTCAAACATGCCTATCGGTCCGAGAATCTGACATGCAGAGCCCCGCCTGTACCCCTCTTGGGGAGAATTTGGTTGCCGATTTCGCCCGCGCCTCAATTTAGCCCCCTCTTGGCCTGGGAAAGCGTTTGGGGTCATCCCTAAAGCATCAGGCTGGTCCAACTTGCAGCCATGGGGGCCGACAGGCAACCTGACTGATAAAAATGAATCCCCGCTTCTGCTGTCGGTTTCTTACCCCCTTGTGGCTTCTCATCGCCGTCGTCACCTTCCCTGTTTTCTATCATTCCCATCGATTTGCTTCATCCTGCGCTGGTCTCACCCTCTCGGAGTTGTCCTCGCCGTCATGTCAGACTCTCCCGCAGAAGCTCCGCAGTATCCTCCGGGGTATATGGAAGCCGACAAAGGCAATCAAGTGATCGCGGTGGTCAGCTTCATTCTGGTACTGGGCACCATTCTCTTGGCTCTGCGGCTGTATGCACGCAGCCTCACTCAAGCCTCCAGAGGCTGGGATGAATTCTTACTGTGGCCTTCCTATATGTGTATGGTGGGGTTGATCATCGTTCTATACCGTAGGGATTCCTTCTCTCTTTCATCCCATAGCCCCTTCAACAAACCCTAGCATGAACGCCAGTGGACGTAATATACTGTGGTCTCGGTCGACACAGCGCCTCTGTCATGGCCGAGGATCCCAAAAAGATAGTCAACTACTCGAAGCTCCTATACACTCTTTTTTGGGTCTATGTGCCCTCTAACGCCCTGTCCCGGGTCTCCGTCGTGGCGCTCTACCTACGCATCTTCACCAGCAGGTTCTACCGCTCCATGTGCTGGGTTGTCATCGCTTTTCTGCTCGGTCATATGCTCATCACTCTCATCACCGCGCAGCTCGAATGTTTACCCCTCGCGTATACCTGGGACAAGTCGATTCCGGGAGGAAGATGTATCAACAAGATACTGTAGTACGTATTGACCAACATTATTCAGGTGATCCAGGACGTGATGATTCTCATCTTGCCCATTCCGACTGTCTGGGACCTGAAGGCCTCGACGGGGAAGAGGGCCGGGATTGCGATGTTGTTTTTAATGGGGAGCATGTACGTTCTTGTTATTTCTCTACTCTTCTCTCCAGAACGTACAGTCCAACAATAACCCCGATCCAGTGGTCTCTTCGCCTCCTGCATGCGAACCGGAATCTTCTTCCGTGACTCCCACATCATCGCAACAGATCCCACCTGTAAGTCTGCCTCCCTTCATATCCCGAACTCTTTACCGGTCCCGAATCTAACAACAACTTACAACTCCAGGGGCCACGGATGTCATGTGCTGGACTATTGTCGAATCTGGCATGTACTTCAGTGCCGCCTGTCTGATCGGCATGCGCCCGCTATTCTCTAAACTGCCGCGCTGGCTCCGCAACCGTATCCTGCACCCCTCAAAGCGTGGCACCGCAGATCAGGACTCGCGCTCCGGGACGGGCCTCGGTTTCAACAAGGGTCCCAGCCATCACCCGTACTCGAGTCTCTCCGGCGGTCGAGACACCCCGGGCCAAGCGACGCAGTTGAAGTCGATGAATGCGATAACGAACACGATTGTGTCGCCGCGCGGCAGCGGGTTCGACGACGACTCCGTGCGCAACATAGTAGCGGATGATGGGGACATTAGGGTCCAGACGCGGATCGAGGTGAGGAGTGATCGCAGCCGGTATTGATTATCGGTCTGGGCTGTTTGCACGGGGCGGGGAGGGTATTTCCGCGTATGTTTATTTGTATATATGTCGTTTCTTAAGGAATGAGATGTACTGTATCTGGTGTATTTTGCTTCGGTTTCTTTGACTGGTTCCGTTAGGTAGTGGATTACGATGGTTCCCACACCGTTCGAGATGGATGCTTGTTACGGATTACAAATTTCATCACTTTGTTACGAATATCGATCATAGCTGACCTGTAGCCTGAGGTAAATGAATGCCCAATTGACCGGGCAGGCGAGATTATCTGCGTAGTAATATTGCTAAGCACTCGACACCGACTTTGTCGGGTATTGAGGAACAAACTAGAACCAATACGCAAGTCCATGAGTTGGGTGATTTTGGTCTCTGGGCATTTGATCGAGGGGAAGGGTGTTGTAGCTCCGGACACGCTGGCGGGTCATGAAGGTGGTCAATTTGCACATATATTTTGCTTCTACCTACGTGAGAAGGGGCTTAGACACGCCAACTCCTCCCTTTGGGACGATTATAATGCATTGCTGCGAAATATAAGGTAATGGAACAAGCATAAGCTGCTAGAGGAACATATCGAAGCCCTCTCCGCAACACCCGGCAGCTTCTCGGAGTTCATATTCGTAATTTTTGACGTGTTCGAGATCTAGGATAAGCCCATAAGTCGTACTCCTGATCAACTTCCCGAAAAGGGTTAGTGGTCCTGCCTCCGTGGTTCCGAGAAGAGAAAACCAAATATAGTGGAAAGCACGATCGGCGGGCGTCTTCCCTCCTACATTGCCCCCACGTACAAGCCATGTCACAGGCCAAATATTCAACAACGTGATGGCATGGATTCTTGGCTGGTCACGCTTTGAGACAGAAGACCCAGCAGTCTGTTACTAGCGGCTGCCCGGTGTGAAGACTAGTCAACCTGGGAATCCGAATGGAGCGAATTGACTAAAAGCAAAGAGCGTTTGCAAATGCTGAGCATGGTGGGTATGTTTTATGCGAGGGTCTGGCCATGTCGGTGAACTGAAGGCCAGTTGCTCGGTGGTGCTTGCCGACCAGATACCCGGGCAAGAGCAGTAGCAAAGTAGACCAGTTCCACATGCTAACTAGAATGACGGGGTTATCGACAACTTAGCCACGGTTTGGGAGGACGAAGATGCCGCGATTTCTGTTTGACCAAGATTATGAGAGCTGGGGATGGAAGGAAATAACCGGGCATCTTCAACGGTTTCGGGTGGGTCTACTCTTTTCAAGGCCGGGCATCTCTCTGCTCCGGACCATCTACACTGGTTATACTTCAGTACGTAGTGCCTTTATACTCGTGCTGGAGGGGTATGCGGGTCTTGAAGTGGACAAATCGGTTTTCACGAATGATTCAATCGACTGCCCGCCTAACCACCCGTCATATCATATACGCCATTGCACACAATGTGCTGTTATTAGGATGCCCGACCAAAAATGCTATCAGATTTCTCTGCCTTTGGCCTTGCTCCTTTTATCGTCGGGCATTCTGATATCGCTTCAAAGGTTCTCGTCGTTACGTTTATGATGCAAACGGGCACTGCACCTTCCTGGGATATCTGAGGCGATGAGGCACTGCAATGCCCGATTACCTACAATACCCATCCATGACTAGATAGGATCCGTGGTTCGCTCTTCGAAAAATCGCACATTCTGCGGATCCATGTACTATCCCACGGTATTCGGACTGCTTTGCTGCATCAAATTGACCAAGGTGGATTACTTGACTACAACATCTAAAAAGGCAGCTCATGTACGGATAACAGTCTGCAAAGTTGGCTCAGGAAGTGACAATCCGGAAAGTTCCCTGATTTCAGGAGGTAACATTCCAAACCTCTCGGATAGCGGTATTCTCATTGTAAGAGAAATCGTACAATTGAAGAGACTAGGAAAAAGAGGCTTCTTCAAGATGAAAAGAAGCTTCAAAAGCAGTGGGAGAAGGTCTACGGCAAAAAAAAAACGTAAACCTGCATCTACGAGATCAAAAAAGGCTTCATCTCAAGCGGCTAATTCAGCCAATTCAGCGGGTCAAGAAAATCTGCCTTGTTTTGTTGATTTACGCGGTGATTAGTGGTGATAGTAAAATTGCTTCATTTCTTCAATTTTGTTGATAAATTCAATTTCGCTGTGGACCACCCACCGGACCACCCACCGGCAAAAAGGCGGTGGGTGGTCCGAAGGCTTTAGACGGGAGGCCACGGCTAAGCGTTGTCGAGGCTGGTAGAGAAAAGTTGCCAATATCCACTCTCGGTCCAGCCAGGTCCCGAGATCTGATGTTCTAGAACGTGGCATCGGAGCGGGAACACCGGGTCAGGAAAAGTGGCTTAAGCCTCCGGGTCTGATTCAGTTGTACTAACTTAATGCAGGCAAAAGTCGGCATAAGCGATCCTAGATAAGCCTGCTATTGCATAAACTCACATGTCTGGTGGAACCAGGCCATTCTAATGGGTCGAAGAGTCCCGGAAATCCCCCTCCCGTTATTTCCTTTAAGACTAATTAGCACCACCGCCACGGGTTGGGGTAGTGCCCAAAACCTTATTGTACGCCCCCAGACTGAATAGATGCGTCATAGATTTCCTGTAGCTAGCGGCCTTGTACCCTTGGAGAATTTTCAAAATGAAATGTTAGGTGGCAAAGAGAGACTAGTTACTTAACCAGATGCTTATTCATCCGTTATCGTAGGGCATTTTCTACTACCGCAATAGATGAATAAATGAAGAGATGGGAGCTTCTCTACGAAGCAAGTTGCTATCAAGTTATCACCTCTCAGTCATCTAGTCACCATGGAATAGTATCATCACATAGAGAATATACATAGTAGATTCGTATAAATACATAGTAGAGTCAAGAATGGAGACGGGCGTAAGATCACTCGAAGGGGGGCACAGCTTTCATCAAGTAGTATATTCAAATGGTAAAGGTTGCGAATCATAAAATGGTATCGAATAACCCCCTGTCGACAACTGGGTTTTTAGAAATGGATTGAAAGAACATCTCCCAGTCGTCTATGTCATACCCGATGCCGGGGAATAAATCTGAAGACATAGAGTCACCATCCGTGGGATATTGGAGCGAGGGGAAGCCAGCCTGGACATCATTATACAATAGCCCGACATGATTTGCAGGGTCTATCATATCTAGTTTGCCGGACTGATCAACATCGTTGGTCGGATGTATGTCGAATGCACTCTGGAGAGTTCTGGTATCGGCAATAGGCTGCGTGGGCAATGATAATGAGTCGTGTATAAATGCAGTATTTCGGGCTTGAGGCATCCTTGGTGAGGAAAAAAGATAGGTAGGAGTCATGGGAGAAGCCTGGGCTAGGGTCAGGCTGTGCGAGCTCCCGGTGGAAGATTGTGGCCGTTGCAAATTTCGATCTTGGGGGATTTGAAGCTTCTGCTGTGAAGGTTGTTTGGACTCCTCCGTAGTTGAGGCTCCAGCCTGGTCGAGAGACCCCAGTTGAGAGAGAATATCATGCACCAACAGCTGACCGTTGGCGTCGCACTTCAGTGGTTCTCCAGGCCAACCATCTCCCGCTTGAACATGTCGATACAACTCTCTGATACCGTGAATGAGCCAACCTCGCTGTTCTTCCAAGAATGTGGTGTATCTGCAATTACCAAGTTAACAACTCGGGTTTCATGACATTGCACTAGGTATGCTAGTACTTACCCCTCAGGATATACCTTTTCTCGAACTCTTTTCCGATCACCAAACACGCAATTGGCATTTTCCGCTCGACATCTCTGACAAGGACTAGATCCATCGCACTACATCTGGTCAGATCAAGACCCTTCGATTGATGGGGTATATGGATATCACGGTCCATACCTTTGTCTTCTTCCTCCTACAACGGTCGCACGCCTTTGGTACTCTCGAACGCAGGTAGTCCTTGTCATAGGGCGAGTCCCTCGACACCACCGGTTTCGAGTTTTGGCGGGGCATGGTTATATGGCACGGAATACAAATTTATGTTTGTATCAACAAAGGATCGTAGTAGCCAACGAACTAGGCCTTTTTATTTGCCCCAACTGAATACCAAGTCATAAGGAAGATTGGCATGCAGGGATCCGAGAGTAGATTAGGGACAAGTGATCACGATATAAGGGAGTTGAGATCGTGGCGAGTCGCACCATGGATCGGTTTCTTGTTGTGGCTAATGCGAAACAACTGGACTGGACTATCGAGCTAGCCATTAAGGTATGGGTCCGATGGCCCCTTTTCACTGAATTTATTAACCCTTTTCAGATATTATATTTTTCACGGTACTCACTTGGTAGCCTTGCTACTGAAAGATACGCAATCCACGGTAGGGGAATCCTTCCAGCTACCGTTGTAGATCCCGGGGGATGAATGGAATACTACATGTGTTAGGATTAGATGCTGCACTTTTTCCAGTGGCATCTGACAGGTTCTTTTCATTTGAATTTTTATTTTATCTGAGAGTAGGCCTGGTAGAGGTCCAAAGCAATGGAGCCATGGGGAATTATGACCCATAATTCTGGTTCTTCTTGATGTTCTTCTTCGTTTTTGGCCCTTTGTTTGATTCTTGTGATAGTTCGACTGTATTCCATTTTAATACATATCGTCGTGTTGACCAATTACGGCTGATCCCGAGGAATCTTTCAGCCGGATCTTGAACATCCGAGCGTAACAAGCACGTAATCTCAGAGATCGATACGTACCGCCGTCCGACCCACTTGGATGAAAACGGCGTCCGGACCCACCTGAAATGTCCGCCATGTATCTGTAACTCGTCGAATGCATCTACCAGGGCTAAAACACCGGTTTGCCATGCGCGTTAGCTTCAGGGGGAACCAGAGGGTCAGAATTCGAGTCGCTTAGATATGACGAACCCACCCTCTATCCATTAACACCAATTCCCCGCCCCAAAGGGTCTTCGGTTCATGAAAATCCCGAGCACTATTGACAGGAATTCCGGATACCGAAGTTAGTGGCTCTGATTTATCAGCTAGTTTGGCAATCAAAGGATTGCCGGTTGATCTTTAAAAGAGTGTGAGGACCACACAGATCTCTGTTGTTCTAGAATCATACTCTCTGGTGCATAGAGTCTTTGTATACCATGTCGGTCTTGGGGGGCATCCCCTCCGTTGAGAGTACGCAGTATCAGCAGCGTATGGCGACCGGGTTTTCCTCGGAAACTAGATTTACCTCGCAAACTGGAGAAACATATGCTTCGTCAACTACACTCGAGAATGACGAGAAAGACAAGGAGTCGGATATTGATATTGAGGATGAGGTTGAGGGGATGGTCAGGGAACTGACCCGGCACTCCACCCATTTCTCTGCAGCCAATTCCAAAAACCCTTTCTTCGAGGATGACACGGGCACTAGCTGGCACCCTGACAGTCCCAACTTCAGGACCAAGGATTGGATTCGTTCCATGGTCGCGGCTCAGTCGCAAGACCCCGAGCGTTTCCTTCAACGCTCGGCGGGTGTGGCCTTCAAGAATCTCTCCGTGCATGGTTTTGGTAGTCCCACCGACTATCAGAAGGATGTTCTTAATTCTATTCTGAGTATTGGTGGCCTAGTCCGCAACCTCGTCGGAAGTGGCAAGCAGAAGGTTCAGATTCTCAGGAACTTCAATGGACTTGTCAAGAGTGGAGAAATGCTGGTGGTTTTAGGTCGTCCTGGAAGGTGAGTCTACCCGTCCAAAATGGACCTAAAGTATAACAGCACTAATATGTGACGCAGTGGCTGCTCGACGTTCTTGAAGACAGTTGCCGGTGAGATGAATGGTATCTATGTCAACGACCAGAGTTATCTCAACTACCAAGGTACGCAATGCGGTCCATCATTAGATATGAGCATAGTAACCAATATAAAACAGGCATCTCGGCCCCCATGATGCAGAAGCAGTTCCGTGGAGAAGCTATCTTCAGCGCTGAGACCGATGTCCACTTCCCTCAGCTTACGGTCGGGGAGACTTTGACATTTGCCGCCCTGGCGCGTGCCCCGCGCACTCGATTCCCCGGGTTGACAAGGAAGCAATACGCCGAGCATCTCCGGGACGTGGTGATGGCTATGCTCGGACTTCGGCACACATTCAATACTCGAGTTGGTAACGACTTCGTGCGTGGTGTCAGTGGAGGTGAACGCAAGCGAGTCAGTATCGCCGAGGCTATCCTCAGTGGTGCCCCGCTGCAGTGCTGGGACAACAGTACGCGCGGTCTGGACAGTGCAAACGCACTGGAATTCTGCAAGAACCTTCGCCTGATGAGCGACTACGCAGGCACGACGGCTTGTGTTGCGATTTACCAGGCTTCGCAGAGTGCCTACGACGTGAGTTGGAAATCCCAATGACATATCTATACAGCTGGAAACAAACCTAATATTTATCATGTGATAGGTCTTTGACAAGGTCGTTGTCCTCTATGAGGGTGAACAGATCTACTTTGGCCCGACCGGCGAGGCTCGTGACTTCTTTACCAACATGGGCTTCGACTGCCCATCTCGCCAGACCACGGCTGATTTCCTCACCTCCCTGACCAGCCCGTCTGAGCGCAGAGTGAAGACGGGATGGGAAGGAAAGGTGCCTCGGACACCTGCCGAGTTCGCGCAGCGCTGGCAAAGCAGCCAGGAGTGTGCTCGTCTCGCTCAAGAGATCGATGCTTTCGACAAGGAACATCCCATCGGCGGCCAGTCCTTGGCTACTTTCAGTGAAGCACGCCGCCAGATGCAGTCAAAGCAGCAACGTGCCAAATCTCCCTACACGCTCTCGGTCATCGAACAAATCCACCTCAACCTTACCCGTGGTTTCCAGAGACTTAGAGCTGATATGACCTTGACATACTCTGCTCTTTTTGGCAACTTCTTCATGTCTTTGATCTTGGGCAGTGTATTCTATAACATGAACGGGGATACTTCCAGTTTCTACCAGCGTGAAGTATTGCTCTTCTATGCCGTTCTTTTGGCTGCGTTTGCCAGCGCGCTCGAGATCTTGACCCTCTATGCCCAGCGTCCAATTGTGGAGAAGCAATCCCGATACGCCTTCTATCACCCGTTCACCGAAGGAGTTGCATCTATGCTGTGCGATATTCCGTATAAATTGACCAACTCGGTGACCTTCAATCTCCCGCTTTACTTCATGTCCAACCTGAAACGCGAACCCGGGGCCTTTTTCATTTTCTGGCTTTTCTCCATCGTGACCACACTGACCATGTCCATGGTGTTCCGAACCTTCGGTGCCGCATCGCGTTCTTTGGCGCAAGCCCTGGTTCCTGCCGCCCTGCTCATTCTGGGTCTCGTGATCTACACAGGTTTCATCATTCCTACCAAGGACATGCTGGGATGGTCTCGCTGGATGAACTACATTGATCCCATCGCGTATTCGTTTGAAAGCCTGATGGTCAATGAGTTCCGCAACAGAGAGTTCCCCTGCGCCTCCTTCGTTCCATCTGGAGAGGGATACGAGAATGTGGACTCCATCAATACCATCTGTAGCACTGTCTCGTCCGTTGCGGGAGACCAGTACGTCAGTGGAGAGGCCTACTTGGAGACTGCATACGCCTATAGCAACGGTCATCTCTGGCGTAATCTGGGTATTGTCTTCGGGTTCATGATCTTCTTCATGTGCGTCTACCTCATTGCGACAGAATACATCACTGAAGCTGCCTCTAAAGGAGAAGTCCTCCTTTTCCGCCGGGGTCATCAGCCGAAGGCCCAGGCCCAGGATTCTGAGACTACGGCAGACGCGACCTACCGCGCGGAAGAGAAGTCCGAGGGCGCTGGAGCTAATATTCAGAGACAGACTGCCATCTTCCAGTGGCAGGATCTCTGCTACGATATCAAGATCAAGAGTGAAGAGCGTCGGATTCTCGACCATGTGAACGGCTGGGTCAAGCCCGGTACCGCCACCGCACTGATGGTAAATCTCGGATCTTTCATAGTGCAATGCAGCTCACTAACTATTCAATAGGGTGTTTCTGGCGCCGGAAAAACTACCCTCTTGGACGTCCTTGCGACTCGCGTGACCATGGGTGTTGTCACCGGTGATGTCCTCGTTGATGGTCGTCCCCGCGACAGCTCATTCCAGCGCAAAACCGGCTACGTTCAACAGCAAGATGTTCATTTGCCTACCTCCACGGTCCGCGAGGCTTTGGAGTTCAGTGCTTTGCTTAGACAGCCAGCCCATATTAGTCGTCAAGAAAAGCTCGACTACGTTAAAGAAGTCCTGGAGTTGCTCGGCATGCAAACATACGCTGACGCCGTTGTTGGTGTTCCCGGTGAAGGTATGTTATTCCTTGCAATGAGGCACTGTCGTCGCTGGATGTCTCTGATTACTGATGATTTTTAGGATTAAACGTTGAGCAGCGTAAGCGTCTGACCATTGCCGTGGAGCTCGTTGCCCGACCTCAGCTATTGCTTTTCCTGGACGAGCCTACGTCTGGCTTGGACAGCCAAACCTCTTGGTCTATTCTGGATTTGATTGAGACCCTGACCAAGCACGGTCAGGCTATTCTGTGTACCATTCACCAGCCCTCTGCCATGCTGTTCCAGCGATTCGATCGACTCCTATTCCTTGCCAAGGGAGGACGCACTGTGTACTTCGGAAAGATCGGTGAAAACTCCTCGATCCTGGCGGACTACTTCATGCGCAATGGTGGCCATGCTCTTACCGACGGCGAAAACCCTGCGGAATGGATGCTCGAAGTAATCGGTGCAGCCCCCGGATCGCACAGCGAGATCGACTGGCCAGAGACTTGGAACAAGAGCGCTGAAAAGCAAGCTGTTCTTGACCACCTGGCTGAGCTGAAGTCTACTCTTTCCGAAAAGCAGCCAGACGAGAACACCGAAACGGAACACCGCGAATTTGCGTCTTCGACCAAAGAACAGCTCGTGCAGTGTCTTTCTCGGCTCTTCTCCCAATACTGGCGCACTCCTTCCTATATCTGGTCCAAACTCATCCTCTCGATTCTCACTGCTCTGTACAACGGATTCTCTTTCTTCCACGCCCAGAATACCCAGCAGGGATTGCAGAATCAGATGTTCAGTATCTTCATGCTTATGACCATCTTTGGCAATCTGGTTCAACAGATTATGCCTAACTTCATTATCCAACGATCCATTTTTGAAGTCCGCGAGCGCCCATCCAAGATGTACTCGTGGAAGGTCTTCATGGCCTCGAATATCATCGTTGAGTTGCCTTGGAACTTCCTGGTTGCCGTTTTGATGTTCTTCTGCTGGTACTACCCGGTCGGTCTGTACGCCAACGCTGAACCCACTGACGCCGTGCATGAACGTGGCGCGCTGATGTTCCTCTACCTATTGGTTTTCCTGTGGTTCACATCGACATTCACGCACATGGTCGTTGCCGGTGTGGAAAATGCGGAAACTGGAGGCAACCTTGCCAATTTGATGTTCTCTCTTCTGCTTTTGTTCTGCGGGTAAGTTATGCTACTTTGTTCGATGAATTTCGGTTTACTAATATATGGATTTGCAGTGTTGTCGCTACCCCCGACGCTATGCCCAGATTCTGGATTTTCATGTATCGCCTTTCCCCATTCACTTATCTAGTGTCGGGAATGCTGTCCACCGCTGTCAGTGGCACAGATGTCACCTGCGCGGCTAACGAATACCTTATCTTCGACCCCCCGAGCTCCCAAACCTGCTACGGGTACCTGAGCGAGTACGCCATTCGGACTGGTGGAAACATCATTAACCCCAACGCCACGAGCTCCTGCTCCTACTGCTCCATGTCCAAAACCGATACCTTCCTTGCCAGCGTGGACTCTTACTGGAGCGATGCGTGGAGGAACTTTGGAATCATGTGGGCTTACTTGGTCTTCAACATTGTTGTTGCCCTTGGAGTCTACTGGTGGGCGCGTGTTCCCAAAGGAACTAAGACCAAGGGAAGCGCTTAAAAAGCAACATGCCCTCGATTTTGACTTTGTCAAGCATATTCGCTACATGCGAAGGTATATACTTCATTTTATAAACCTTTCATCCAACATATATTTATAGACTCGCTCTTTAGATCTTTTCTTTTCGTTGTCTGGGCCTTGGTCCCTACATTCCTTACATTCTCCTTAAGGTTTTATTTATTATCTAGACTTTTCCCCATCATTTTGAAAATACATGTTTTAACTTTCTCTACCATGCTTCCGGGTTTTCTAAGCCTTAGATATGAATTCGGTTTCATTAAATACTAGAGAAATATCACCGTTAGATGTCATCCCTGAGAAAGATAACTCTGGCCTGAAGTCCAAGGCATTTCGGAATGTGTGGAGCTTTGTTTTGTCATCTTGTGGAAAAAATACCGCTGCACCAAAAAGGGTCAACCCTTAGTAGTAAGGGCTTATTTCTAGTGCACATCCGCGGCGACACATCTGTTATATTTAGTAGTTAATGTGATTAACGTAATCCACGGCCCCTCGGAACACCCCATCCCAAATCGAAATTCAAAAGCCCTTTCTCGATTCTAAGCGCCGTGCTTAGAACAGATTTAATCCACTCCCTCACGAAAAAAATACACTCTGGATGTTTGGCATCCACATCGCAGCATATCTTTGGATCTTCTCGATTGTTTTTTCCCCTAAAGAATCGCGAAACTCGAGACCCTTCTCATTTAGTTTCTCAATATCTGTCGTTGCGATTCGCTACGTGGAAAAGAAGAGTCATCAGCTATTCTCGCGTGGAATGACCGTAAGATTTAGTGAAGGCTCACTTACACGATCTATATCCCAGTCGGACAGTGCTGTGCTGAGCAAGTGGCGTTCATCGTAGTCTGGGTCATCTTCTCGAACCACATAGTCTGTGATGTCCCATTCCACGGCGGGATCATCCTCTCCTAATGATACTCTCAGGATATCTATCATTCAACAGTTATTAGTTAATTCATCGCCCATCAGGAGAATGAGATTGATGCTTGGAAGACGAAAAAAGCTGAGAAAGAATAAGGACGTGCCTGGATCCACTTGTAAACGCTGTACCCTCTGCTCTCTTATCTCTGCCCAAATATCGTCCGCTCGACGCCATTCGTCCTCTTCTTCATTTCCCCCGGGCTGATTTGTCGGCGGTAACCCGGGTGCCATAGCGTTGTCTTGGCCGCTATTGTCGGACTGGTCTGTAATAGTGGCTTCACCCCCTGGGGAGGTGTTTGACGGAACCCACTCCGAGTAGATAAGGTTGGATGCTGGATCAGAAACAGCCCGCTCATCGTCACCGAGAAGGCCAATTCGAACCTTCCACCTCCGAAGATACTCCTTCAGGATGTGTTGTGCCCCAATGTCGGGGATATACTTGGTGATATCACATTCAAACCGCGCTAGATAGTGAGGCGATGACAGATCAAGTAGTTCTTCAAAGCATTTGACATGATAGTAATCTAGACGGCAATCAATAGCCTGTCAGGAAGGAAGGGAAACGCCTAATACGACATCCCTAGACCAATGCAGGCTTACCTGGATTCTGGTAATAATTATGGCTTCCTGGGGTCACGGCAATTCTATAGTCACCTGGGTTTATTGTGACAGTGCAACTTCCAATTCGACACTTCGCTCCGCGGTTTGAGGGCGGTGCGGTCTGAAACACGAAAATAGGATAGTATAACAAGATTTCTACAGAATCTGTCCAACCACGTTCAAATTGTGGCTTTATGTGCTTTTTAAATTGTTTAGCCTCTTTTTGTATATCTTCTTGCCGTCTTTCCTCTGGTGAAAGTGCATTTCGACGTGCCTCTTCTGCGGCATAGCGCTGCTCAACTGCGTCCCAGTACTGGCGTTCGTCGTCAGAGTTGATAGTATCTTCTTCACGACCGAGCCTACGGGCAAGTTCCTGCCTCCGACGCTTTTTCGCTTCCTCGCGCTGTGAGGTTCTCGGCTGCCTGGCTCGTTTGCGTCGGGACGGGGATGGAACTGTTGGAGTTGGATTTGAGGCCGTTATTTGGGGCAACGATTTCGCACCATGGGAGCTGTCGTTTGAAGCTGCTCTGGTGTTTTCGGGTTCTGATCCATGCGCTTGGTCGGTTGCAGAAGGGGCTGTTTGGTTACTGGCGGGCTTGACTTGCTCGTGATTCTCATGACCCGGGTTCTCACGACGGGGGGGAGAGGGACGAAGAGTCACCCCGTAAGTCTTTGGATCGATAGAAGAGTACTCCATTATTGTCGTATAGAAGACAAGGTTTGGGTATTGCTCTATAGGACAAAGTGCAGCAGGATGAAACGGGTTGGAAGATTGACATGATGAGCGGAGGAGATTGGCCTTAAATTAGATCTTCTAGGGGCACATGCCATATGCCTGGCAAGTCATGGATTTAGCCTTGTGTCTGCCTCATGCCTTTCGGATTGGATGGACTTGAGCAGGTTGCAAGGGGGGGTCAATCCGCTCGCAGACTACCGAAATCGACTGGATGTGCATTCCCACTCGCCCGCAATTAAAAATAGCTCGTCACTTGTGTTGGGTAATGTGACAGTTTGTTCTGGTGACTATCTTAACAGCCCTCAAGTAGCTTTATGGCCCTTACTGGCGCCCTGATAGCTAGCAGATATGGTTATGTACGACAAGAATGTTCGCGCCGGTGGGCAATCAGGGGAATTAGGAAGAAAGATCTCTGGAGCGGATGCCAGGACTACCCCACTTCCTGCCCCTTCCTCCCTCTAGACAGGGAAAATACAACGAACCATTGGTTTATTACCCCGCCTCCTGAAACGGCCGGCTTGAACTAACTAGTGCCTCTGTGACTATTCAGGTAACACCAAGATAGACTAACGTATTCAACGGGCGAGTGGTCCGTTTTGCCCGCCACCCCCTATTTAATTTGATCTTTCAATCACTAATGCCATTGAATTGAATAAATAAATATATAAAAATGAAGCTATTTACTAGGGCAATTACGAATTGTATGTCCAACTGTCCCACAGCTACTACAGCGTTGTAGAGCTCGTCGACGAGGTACCGGAGTAGACTCATCGGGATGTTCATTGTTACTTCCTGAGCCAAGGACTTCCTGATACGGACTTGACTTCCCGATACGGACTTCCGATACGAACTTCCTGATATGGAGGACCCTCCCATTCCTACCTGGGGCGAAACCTCAGGTAGTACATAAAGGATAGATCCTCCCTTATAGATAGTCTTTCTTCTCCATGGGAAAATTCCTTGATTACGAGTCATAAACAAACTAGTCTTTTATTAGGCTCCTTTGTAGACCGTCACACTCATTAGGCTGCGTATCAAGCTGCTGAACACGATTTTAGCCTTCTTATACAGAAATAGAACGATTATTACCCACTTGACCACGCCTTCTTGTCTTTTTTTGAGATTTTCGCTCATTTTCAGCCCGTAAAGTCGTAATTTCTTGCTCTAAAAGCAGCTTGGTTTGCATTGCCATTTAGGCAGCCTTTTCAAGATGTTAAATATGCGCAACAGGGCTGCTAGAAAGCTGCCGTTTCTTATTAAGACTCTTTCGTAAGCTTTAGACCTTTCGATCCAACTAGCGAGTATTCTGTGGAGTCGGGAAAGCAGAGGAAATTGACCCTTCAACTAGTGATGGTGCAGGTGTAGGTGTATGTGGTCGAAAAGTAAGGTTAGAAAGAACACGCTCTTGATCAAATGGCTTAAGCCCAGCCCCTGCGAATCCACTGCAGATATTCGTAGAAGTGAAGACTTGAGCCCGTGCGTCTGGATATAGCGATAAAAAGTCCTCTTTATCAATATGGTTTTTACCCGCAACCATACGCCCTTCAAGCAACTTTCCGTATGTGCGTTTAAGCGAGCCAAAAACACCCACATCAAGCGGCTGAAGAAGATGCGAAATATAGGCAGGCATACAAAGACATATTATTGCATTTTGTTTGCAATAATCATCGAATTCAGCAGTTAAATGACTACTATGGCCATCCAAAATAACTCGGCGTTTTGCACCAGTCATATGGCGCCTGGAGGAGGGTTCAAAGACATTCTTTAGCCAAAGAAGACCTATTTTATCAGTTGTCCAGCCATTTTGACTTATTGCAATCTACCAGTCTCTAGCAAGCTTAGATTCTTGGAACCAAGCGGCTTGTTGTTGGCCTCCTTTCAGTATAATAATAGGTGGTAAAGATACACCTTTTGAGCCGAATGTTTCGATAATTGTAACCTATTCGCAATTACCCTGAAGAAAAAACAACAACTTCGACGCGAACCTAATTTTTGAAATAACTCTACCACCACGACGGCTACGGCCTCTAGAATCAGCCAGTTTACTATCAACCCCAGCCGCCATCGATTGAGCCTAACTTTATAGGGGATATCGACATGGTTGGAGTGAAACCCTCGTAGCCGGCCCTTTCGATCCCAGAAAGTAGATTGATGCTCAGAGTGCCCGCTCTGTATCTGAATCTACCAATCGACGAGTTGCTCTTTATTCATATCTTCGCATATAACTTAGTTTTGCGCTAGATCTGTAGAGCGCTTGAGAGATAGGGGAACAGAGAGAGGCGGAGGAAAGGGAGTTATTTGACTTGTAGACTGTTCGGGCGCGATACTTTCGGAAAAAAGATAGGACGAATTATCAAACTCGCCACTATCCGAGAGGGGTACTGAGTAGATTTCTGATAGTTGAGACATAATAAGAGTTAATGAGAGAGCTTAATGATCCTAAATGAAAGAGAGATCATAGTTTACTATAAGAGAGGGGAGAGTAAACCTATATTTCAGTTAAACTGCAGTCTTCAGATATAGTCTACATGGACAGCCCGAGATAACGCGTCTGATATCTTTCGTGATGATTGGCTAATTAATCTCCTAGCCCCATATTTAACGATCTCTTATTAGTTAGTCTAATGGGTCGGCCCACTGGCCTTCGAAATTCGAGGAAAGGCGTCCCCCCCCAGTTTTTATCGAATCTACACCTTTTTTCTCGCTCTTCTGCGTGTACCTTAAAATGAATTTAACCTACTTCCCGCGCCTAGATTATAAAATAAAAAACTTCTCTAAATAAAATACACTATTCTCCGTTATATAACACTGAGAAACCTACACAAAAAATCATATCCATCGAGATGTCAAAAAACTAACACTTAGAGCAGAAGGATGCATTCAATCATCAACACGTAACTAGTTATATATTTCTAAGTTAGACGAGAGTAAGTAAGTCGTAATCTATTCTGTAATTTGCTATAGCTAAGGGCGAAGAATTGAGACGGCTATAAATTACGCCAGTAACTTTGGATATTTTGCATATTAATTATGCATATCTACCTATTATTCGTAAACAGTTTCTTGCATAAGATAATTAAAAGCATCCCGCCGGGTACATCTTGTATAGGAAATACCCAAAATTTAAGCTGAATTATGTAGTTATGCCAAGTCTCAGATTTGTGCAGAATATGGGTTTTTTTTGGACCCATGGGTACCCATCGGGATGGGTCGACCATTTTAAAAAAACCAATAACCCATATGGGTTTGGCGATGGGTCCAACATTTGGACCCATTGATGGGTTGTGCCGAAGTCTAGTTATAGGTAATAGGCGCGCTGAAACGAACCGGGTACATGACTCTCCAGCATATGCTCTTGATCGATACTATTCTTACCATGCCCGATCCTACTGTCGAGAAGGAATATCAGCGTCGATTCTCCACGATCAATGCAGTTATCGCTTTCTGTGACGTGGAAGAGGGATCGCCTACAAGACGACTAAACGTTTCCTATAAATAGCGCGCCGATGATGTACCGCCATCTACGCCCCCTTCAAAACGACAAGAACCGTGTTCGGCAGTTGAGAACAAAATAGCAATCGGCGATTTCGTCAGTCTGCATCAAGTCTCCGGATGAAAGACCCACAACCTGCTTTCTATGTGTTTCAAATTCCCAGCTCCCAGCAATAGAACGATTCAGAAAACATAGTACTCCGGGATCTCTCAGCCGGCACTTTATTGACAAGCATGTTAAGCGTTTCCCCAAGGACATGCGCGTTACATGCGATATCTGTAACGAGGAGTTGGAACATAAGAAGCATGTAATGAATCATGCGCAGATAAAGCACGGGATCGCCTCACGTCGGTCATTGTCAGTTCTTGGTCCAATATAATTATCAATTTCCAACTGTTCTTATTCACTGCTTTGTGATACTGTTAATCTGTCTCATTCATATCTTGATGTACTATACCACTGTTGCCCATTCGTGATCTCCATCTTGAAGCCGTTGCTTCATTCTATGTCTCCCCTAGTTCGCTTCGAAATCCAACAGGATCCGTTGGGCATTTAAAACGGAGAATGTCTCGTTTATCGCCGATAAGCCCAGCTACCGTCCGGCCAGTTACTTATTCTGCGAGTTAGCAGAACTGGAACATTATTTGTCGAGTGCCGGACACAAGAAAGGTTTATAAAAACATATACTACTTGAAGGGAGATCCTGACATGTCTATCAAATCCTGTTGAACAAGCTATATAAACATATTCAAGCCCGTTGCTGGCAAACCGTAATAAACGGAGTAATGATACTTCCAGTAAACAGTCTCCTGGACTTAACATCGTAAGCGGCTACGGTGGTAGCTGAAAGCAATTTGCCCTCCTTATCCTCGATCACTTTTTCGACCACATACTGCCCCTGACCTTCGACTTCACCTGTCTTCTTGATCCTCAGAATAGTAGTCGCCACAGCCATTTCCTCCGGATGATCAAAAGCTCTAGCCATCCCCATCAAATCCGGGAACGCAGCGGCAATGATATTCCCCTCCGAATCGACAAACAGATTATCCATCGAAATGCCCGTATCAACCTCACTGACCCGACGGAATTCACCATCTACCAGCTCATAAACCGAGATTTTACCAGCGACTCCTTGCACCACGTAAAACAAACCGTCCTGGCCCCTCGTGATCCCATTCGGCATGTGGAATCCCTTCTCAGCCACGATCCGACATTCACCCGAGTCAGTACGACAGCGAGCAACGCTGCCGCCACCAGCTATGATTTCCAGTTGCTTCAGTGCCCCGAATTTCCGAGTATGATCATTCGTGATAAGAAACCCGTTCCCATCTTCCTCGACAGCGAGATTATTTGGCGAGACGACCGCATCACTAACAATTGTCTTCACATGCTCCAATGTCTCGCGCGAGTGATCCAAATCAAATATCTCGATCGTTGAATTCGCTCCGACTTTATCCGCCGCTAACAACTCTCCAGTATCTCCATTTACCGGCGGGCGGTGATTAATCATCCAGAACCGTAACACCCCATCATCAACCTCCTTAACGTCGAATCCATGAAGATCTAAATCCCCAGTATACGAATTCCCGATCTTCACCTTCCGCAACCCATACAACCCATCCGAGCCAGGATGATCGATATCCAGCACAGAGACCCAATTCGAGCCCCTCCGCGCCGACACGTTCAGTTTATTACCGCCGGGAGACCAGCCCTTTCGGCCTTGAATGTCCCCGCACGCAGCGTAGAGCTTTCGTCCGGACCCGTCGAGCCAGATGTCCTCGCAGCCTGAGAGAAGAGGGTGACTGAGTTTCTGGCATTCGTAGGAAGGGAAGTCCTCGATGGGTTGGATGACACGGTTGATGTTGAAGAATAGGACGAGAAAGCCGTGGAGGTAGATTTTATAGAGGATGGCGATGATGAGGATTGTTGTGGGGAGGAAGATGCGGCGGCTGGATGTGCCGTTTAGTTTTCGGTGAGAATTTGGTGGGGAGGGGGGCATGGTGGATGATGTATAACTGTTCCGTCGTATAACTATGGGGACAAACAATTGTCTGAATTTTGGAGGCAGAAACCAGCTGGGTTCGACGCGCTAAAAGCTGATATCGACGCACTAGTCTGCCTCAGGCAACAAGCCGAGTGGAATTTGGCCCCTGCCCCAAATTCCACGTGGAATTTACATGTGTATTGTGGCAGAATTCGCGTGGGTCTACCGAAGAAGTGATTATTCAACCGATTTTATAGCGGAATTGCATGATCTATATCGTCATAAATCATGTGGTTCATATTGATCGGTTGCATGGTCCGTCCGGTCAAGCAAGGCGATGATATTAGCGGTTTAGCCATCTTCCGCGGCCACATGTAACTAACTACGTGCAGGCTAGCGCCGCAAGCCATACCAGCAGGCTCAGCCTCCAACAGCTCATATTGTACATATTCATGGACAAGGGCGAAGGCTGGGGGTGAACAATTGAAGTTGCAAGGAAAATTCATGTAGATATAGCGCTAATCTTGAGTTTCTTGGTGACTCTTGACCTTCAAGGCCGACGACCTCATTTGCGAATGGGCGAATCATTCATGATTCTGACTAAGATTGTGCAGACCAGGCATCAGAGCAGGGGAGGGGAAGAACCGTGTTCTAACTCACTCTGTGGAACCAGTATGCTTGTCCATTCACGGATGTCTGAAGGGTTGGAGGACAGCGTGAATAAGCAGGCTTGGAAGATCCCATAGGCAAGATTTATAGGTCAAGAAGGCTATGTCTCAGCGCCTGTGCTACATCGGATAATCTGGTCCGCCGTGCGCTTACATGCTCTGGCTCGTACCTGATGAGGTCTGAACTAAGAATATTATCTGAAACATCCACTGTTGAACCTCTTGACATAACAGTACGTCCTGATATCTTATACTTCATTTTTCAACCTAAACTCATGATGGTCGTCAGCTGCATTGCTCACAGTATGGAACCCATGCTACTAAGAGCAGCCTCCAGCGACCGCCAGGGTACTATATTGGAGGATTATTTTCGCCAGGTAGGGGGTATCTATGTCAAATAATTAGAATAATATACGCTGCTCTCCTCCATCTCCACAGAAGTTACTTAATCCTTTAAAATACCTGGTCGCCCGGCGGTTCTAGTTAGGCACTAGTCGATGTTTAGTCACATAGCCCTTACCCTCCGCCCATGCGGGAATTTGCAAGACTCCCGAGACCAAACTCACATCCCGTACAAGTCACAATTTTCTTGTCCAAGTTGAACGATGTCGTTAGCCCGGCCTATCGCCGGCTAGGACCGGTGACGCGAAAACCTTGGAGCTCATGGTCAACAAACTAGGCTTCTAAAGAGATGAGCCTCGCTAATCATTTCCTTGGCGGGTCATGGCTGACGAGAAATGGAGCTGGTTACTCGTATGGGGTAGACACTCGTCCCAGGTATCCGTGCGCATAATCTCATTTTGCAAAAGACATATAGAACTCGGGGGTTTCTTAGATGACGGCCTATGCCTTGAGCGAGCTGTAAACGGAACCTTAGCTCACTATCTTCTTGAGATATTCTATCAAACCAGTTCAATGTAGCGAGTTAGTCACATGAACTCTTCATTGTCATTCATCTGCAGAGCAATGTTGAGGAAGTTCAAGGACCGCGACTTCACTAAAAACTTTAATCTTATGGCGCACTTTGGCATTTGATAATACACGAGTGCAACCTGAACAAACTCCATTGTCTGGCCTCAGGTCTGCTGATCTTAAAAACGTCATATCACTGTTCTTGTTATCGCGATGCCTTTGTAGACGCGCGGCGCACATTGCGATGTAATTACTTATCTACAGCGACAGGGCAGGTTTGTTTATGGTCAAGAGTCTAATCACTAGGCTGTTCAAGGCTGGCGTCAACGTTGTATGATATTTCAGAAATAAGTTACAGCACCATCGCTCATGATGTCAGATTGTGTGATCAAAGCAGCTACGTGCCCCGAAAATATATATAGAGTCCCACCTACGTTGATGATGGCAGCGCGCTCAGAAGAAATATACGTTCAACTCTACTGATTCCTGAGTCTTGGTTATGGCATCTACCTAATGACCAACCATCGACTGAAAGATAGGAGCAAACCGCTCACCAACCGGCTTAGCAGCATCCACGATCGTCCGCATCTCCCTCAGCTCTTCTACTGTCAGTTTGATATCACGAGATGCCCAGTTCTCAGTTAAGCGTGATGCCTTAGTCGTTCCGGGAATTGTAATCAACCCCTGCGCAGCAACCCAAGCCAACGCAATCTGCGCAACCGAGCACCCCTTCCGAGTGGCTAACTTCTTGATCTCGTCGACGATAGCCTTATTCTGATAGAAATTTTTGCCTTGGAATTTTGGGACTAGGTTAAAGAGTCAACAGCTGAAGTTTCAAATAGGATAGGAGGTTTAACGTACCTGTTCGGCGAAAATCAGAAGCGCCGAAATCATCCGGAGACTTGAATTGGAAGTCATCTACAAGCCAGCCGTGACCAAGGGGGCTGAATGCCACAAATGCCACGCCCAGTTCTTTCGCTGTATCAATCAGGCCACTTGTCTCGTGCAAGGTCTCGAAAGCTGAGTACTCGGCTTGAACGGCATCGATTTTGGCGACTGCGATACATCAGCATGTTCGACCGTACTTATGAAATTGTAGAGGATACTAACTTGCATTTGCCTTGCGCAGGGTTTCAGCAGAGCATTCAGATAGACCAATGTACTTGGTCTTTCCTGCACGGCGAAGTTCGTCTAAGGCAGTGATGGACTCTTCGAGGGGGGTGTCTGGGCTGCAGAATTAGGATACCATGGCACGGATATGTTAATATAGGGTGTACTCAAGACGTACTTGGGTCGATTCGGTGCAGATAGTAAAGATCAGGAGTGAAACCAAGTCTTTTGATCGTCCCCTCGATGTACTTTTTTATGTGAGCGGCGGAATTGTCTACTTTCCGTTGAGGTCCGAAGACATCAAATCCACACTTTGAGGCAACTGCGCATCGGCACAACGTAAGTAAGAGATACTGAATACAGGAAAAGAAGCGATACTGTGCTCACCAAAAAGCTTATCGCGGACATTGTGGTTCTTTATAAATTCTCCAAGAAGCTTCTCATTTTCACCATTCTTGTAGGCGACCTTAACGGAGAGCATAATGAGAGACCAACATTCCTTTAATCATGGGAGGACGACTTACTGCAGTATCCCAGAACGTACAGCCAAGCTCGATGGCTTTCAAAAGAACAGGCTCGGACTGCTCAAGTTTGAAATCTGTTCCCATCGCAGAATTGAGGCCCATGGCGCCAAAACCGGGAACAGGGACCTGCAGGTCGCCAAACGGAAGTGTCTTGACCATGTTGGGTTTTTTTTTTTTTTTTTGAGAAATCTTAACCGCAGTCAGCCAAGTTATGCCTCGTCCTCGAGGACGTAGTGGTACGATCCTCGGGAAATGGATACGCATGTTGATCGGAACTCACAATCAAAGGTGTGGTTGAAATTGCACTTGGAGGGATGAGAAATTAGAGATAAGCCAAAACCTTTAGGCAAACCTGTCTTTGTGGGTTATATATTGTTGTCGACTACGACCAGAGCTTGAGAATGACATAACGGCATCTTTTCCCCATCGATACGCTGTCAGCTTGTCATACACCTGCATGAGCGTCTAACTTGAAAAGGAATGATCTCCGCGGTAAATTTTTGAGTTTCACCACTGTTGATAACAAGATTGGAGCATCGCGGGGAGTGCGCAGGAAACGAAAGACCTACAGCGGAAACTGGATACCGATTGGCTTCTCACTTCCCATCATCGGGTGGATCTCCACAATGCCCTCCGTGATATGGCGAATCGGGAATGCGAGGATGGTCGGAAGATTGCGATTCATCTCTCCTCACGCTTGAGCTTTGTGATATGTTGCGGTCTTTTTTTAGGTTTTTTTTTTTTTTTTTTTTTTTTTTTTTTTTTTTTTTTTTTTTTTTTTATAATTCTCATTAGGAACCTATTTTTTCATCATTCTGTACAGGACGCCGATTCTGGAACTGTGGTGTTGGAGGATAGAACGGCCTACACGGGCGACTTGGTCGTGGGAGCAGATGGAAGGAACGTAAGATGAAACTCTCCATACTTGTACTGTGAACGTAAATATTTAGTACTGATGATAAATCGCAAAGTCCCGATCCGTCCACGCCCTTCTTGGAGAAGCCCAACAACAGAAGAGGACAGGACAGGACTGTTTCGCTTCCTGGTCCCTATGGCCAAAGCGCAGGCCAATGCATTAATAGCATCGCTGGTGGCCAGGACTGGCATTGATGGAGTCTACGCATTCACCAGTCAGGATCGTCGTCTTGTTATCCACCCCTGTCGTCAAGGTGCTCTGCTCAATGTTGTTGCGATTCAATCCCGCTGCATGGACCACATCCATATTTTAAGAGTATATTCGAATACACACATATGGATTTTTCTTGGTGTGGGTGCGAAAGTGCCGCTGATAGTGCTCCCGACGGTGAAAAGACAAGTTACTATGCTTACAGTAATTTGATGGAAGTTCCATGGCAGTGCGTGAAGGATATATCACAGCACTAGACATCGTATATTGAGCTTCGACGAGAGGGATAGTTGCAAGTTGGTCCGTAAGATCAATCTCACAAAGAGATAAGCCGCGGGGTCATGATGCCAAATTGCAGATTCTATTTCACACGGCAAGACTAGCGATTGTTTATCCATTTAATACATGTAGCTCTGACGCAGAAGTGTGTTTTGAAGAGCAGTGAAACGCGCGAGCTGGCGCGAGTTTGGGCTTGCATTGATCTTGTAGGTATTGATCAGCCGGAGGGAGTCTCCGCCTTCTACCCCCCATGCGTCTCTTTTCTTTTCCGTTCCGGTCCTATACGGAAGGATTCGGGGTAAAAAGTTCCGGCTTTTGTTGGAGTTGTAGAAGATCGTCGCCGTCTGGAAATCATTCACCATTTAGTGTTGACTGGAGCTCTTCTTATTGGAAATT